CGCTGCTGCCGCCGCCCCCGCTGTAGCGTTTGGGGGGGGCGACTGGCGACGGCAAAAATGCAAGCCCCGCCCCTGGCCACTGTCTTTCTTTAATTCTTTACAGGATGGTCACTACGTGCCTCCCCGTGTTTGTCTTGTTGATTAAATGAACTCGGGGGCACAGGACGCGGCACAAACGGGGTACACCAAAAGGCAGGGGGCCGTGTTTGAAACAAGAGAGGTGTTTAGAGGTGGTAATTTTTTTTGTGCCCACGTGAATGCGCATGCCACTCCTGCTCTCGAACGGCGTTGACGGCGTGTTCGATGGCGCGAGCACTGACGGCGGTGACGGCGAGAGTCTTGCCAGCGGAGGTGGCGGCGGCGGCGGCGGCGGCAGCAGCAGGAGAGGCGGCAGCAGTGAGCCAGAGGAGCCGGATGCATCGGCGAAGCGTCTGCTTGCGAGAGTGCGGTGGCGTGCTCCGCGATTCGATGCACCGCCGCGCTCGCTGCTCCACTCGCAGCTCATCGCGCTCGCCGCATCCGCGTCGCCCACCGAGGCGAGCCGCGCTGCACTAGAGGGCGCGCTGCGCCGCGCCGCTGGCTCGCTCGCCCGTACAATGCCCGGCGGCAGCCTCGACCTCTTCGGCTCCAACGCCACCGACCTCTCACTCCCAAGCTCCGACCTAGACCTCGTCATCACGACCGCTGAGGCCGCCGGAGCGGCGGCGGCGGCGGCGGCGGCGGCGGCGGCGGCGGCGGCAGAGGAGGAGGGGCAGGCGGAGGAGGAGGAGGAGGAGGAGGAGGAGGAGGGGGAGGGGGAGGAGGAGGAGGCTCCGGCCGGCCACCGCAAGCGGCGGCGCGGCCAGCCGATCCCGCGGCCGACCTCGCGGCTGAGGCAGCGCGAGGCTGTCAAGCCGCTCCGCCGGCTGATGCGTGCTCTGCTGCGCGATGGCGTCGCGCTCGGCTACCCGCGCTCGCCAGAGGTGGTGCGCGCGCGCGTGCCCATCCTCAAGTACACTGACGCCGCCTCGCGCGCTGCGGTGGACGTGTGCATCGACCAGGAGGGCGGCCCGCGCGGGTCCGCCTGGGTGCGGGGGAGGCTGCGAGCGCGGCCGGAGCTGCGCCCGCTCCTGCTGGCCGTCAAGCTGCTGCTGCGGAGGCATGGCTTGTCCGAGACGTACACCGGCGGCGTGGGCTCGTACCTGCTCTTCGTGATGGCGGAGCGGGTGGCGCGGCACAACGGGGAGGGGCATGGCCAGGCGGGCGAGGCGGGCGAGGCGGGCGAGACGGGCGAGGCGGACCTCGGGGCGCTGCTCGTCCTTTTCCTCGCGCGGTACGCGGCGCACCGCGGCGACGCCCTCCAGGTGCCACTACCGCCTCCCTTGCCGAGACGCTTCCCTTTCCGAGAAGCTTCCCCTCCGAGAGGCCCCTTCCGGGCTCCCCCCTCCTCCCAACACCTTCGCCGCACGAGGGCCACCAGCCCTGCTTGGCATCTCCCAGCCACTCTCCCGCTGCCGCCGCCCGCCCCCGACGCTCCCCCGCCCTCCCGCTCCCAGATGCGCGACCCGCTCTGCGCGAGCGTCGACCTCGGAGCAAAGTGCTTCCGCTGGAGAGCGGTGAGCAGCCTCTTCGGCCGCGCCCTCGCCGGCCTGCGCTCTCGCGGCTGCATCTCCGCCCTCCTGCCCGGCTGGCGGCCACGCTCGGGAGATCGCATCTCGCGCGCGGCCCTCGCGGCGCTCGGCGAGCCGCGGCCGGCCGGCGGCGGCGGCGTGGGCGAGGGGGGAGGGGGCGCGGCGTGGCGGCTGCGCGAGGCGGGCGCGGAGGCGGAGGTGGTGGCGGCGCGGGCGCGCGTCGAGGCTGGCTGCGCCTCGGACGACGAGGGCGGGGGTGGGGGCGGCTGGGGAGGCGGAGGCAGGGGCGGAGGTGGGCGCGGCCGGGGCGGCGGAGGCGGACGTGGTCCCGGCGGCGCCGGCTTCCGGCGCGGACGCGGTGCCAAGCGGCAGAGGCCGTCGCCCGCCGACGAGGGTGACCCCCCGCGCCCTCAACGGAGCAGCGGCCAGCCGCAGCAGCAGGAGCAGCGCAGGCGGCGGCACGAGAGTAAGCAGCGGGAGCGCAAGCAGAGGCAGCAAAAGCGGCGGCGGGAGCGGGAAGCGAGGTCCGAGTTTCGCGCGGGGCGGAGAAGGGAGGAATGAATAAATAAATACAAACGGACACAGATGGACTAGGTAGTCTCCAGTCTGTAGATTTTCCTCCGCTCCGTCCGAATCCCTCCCCGTCCCGCCGGCGGCGCAGAGAGCGATTTTCGCAAAAAGAGTAAAGAGCGCTCACCACACGCACAGCGGGGTCAAAAACTCACATGGGTCAAACATACACACGATCTCTCTCTTTACCCATCTCAGTCAGAGTACTTGAGTCTGCGTTTTTTCACACGATCTCTCTCGCAAGGCGACCTGGACGCAGCGCGAGGGTCGCAGCACATGACATACACAACACACTGCGCTACACGTAAGTACCGGCAATACACAGGCGTCAGCACAGCACGCAGAGCGCGACAGCACAGCACATACATACTCTGGCGCCGGGCGCTGGCTCGCGCGGCCACCAAACTCGTGCGACATGCGGCCACCAAACTCGGAGCTGCAATACGACATCAGACCCAGGATGAGCCTCACCAGACTAGAGAGGAGGAGAGGCCCTCACGCCGCGCGAGCAGTAGGTCAGACCAGCGCCGCGCGAGCCGCGCGCGCGCCGGCGCCCGCCCTGACCACGAGGCCGAGCACGGCGGCGAGGCCGAGGGCCGCGCCCACTGCAGAGGCAACGCTCGCTCCGTGGCCGGGCGAGGATGCCGCCGCTGCGGCTGCGCCCGGGGGCTCCGCGCGGAGGAAGAAGAAGAATCGGGCGCCCGGCGTCGCGGGCGGAGGGGGCGGCGGCGGCGGCGGCGGCGGCGGCGGCGGCGGCGGATTGGGAGGCGGCGGCGGCGGCGGCGGTGGCGGGGGTGGGTCTGGAGGCGGGGGCGGGGGCGGAGGCGGTGGTGGCGGATCTGGCGGATTGGGAGGCGGCGGCGGCGGGTCCGGCGGAGGAGGCGGGTCCGGCGGAGGCGGCGGCGGCGGCGGCGGCGGAGGCGGCGGCGGCGGTGGCTGCGGAGGCAGAGGAGGGGATCCAGGGACGGGGGGCGGAGGCGAGGGGCTCTTGTCAAATTTGTGGGCGAGAGCCTCTAGCTTCTGCATGAGCTTCCACTCGATTTCTGCCGCCTTCCCGTCAATCTTGTCGCCCGTGGCGTCGAGGTGGTCTTTGAACCTTGCCGCCACACTGAGGCTCCTCCCGCGAGTGACCGAACGGCCTCCGCTGCGCTGAGCGCCAGGGTTGCCGCTGCGCTGAGCGCCAGGATTGGCTCCGCTGTCCTCGTTGTGCGCCAGCGGTTGCGGAGCGGCGAAGGCGAGCAGAGCCGCCGCTCCGAGCATCGAAGGAGACAAAACAAAACTCTCTCTCGAAGGAGCTGAGAGAGCTAGGAGTGAGCGAGACCAACGAGCAGACTGCCGGACGGCGCGCCGCAATTCGCGGCGCATAATTCTTTGTAAAGGTGGTCCTTCTCGGAAACTGAAACGCGTTCCTCAACGCTTGCGATTCAGCTGTCGCGCCACTGGATGATCTTGCTCAGCTCGCCGAGCTCGACCTGAACGGTCAGCGGCGCGACCGCTGAATCGCAGCCGTTCGTGCTGCACGCATGCATCGTTGCAGTTTCTCCATCCGTACCTACAGGATCTAAACCTTAACCCTCCCTGACTCGAGTCCAGAGGGAGCGCGCGCTCTTTCACCCGCGAGCTGTGTGGGGGCCTCGTCCCACCGAAGACCTCCGCCTTTGGCGATGGCATCCACCGGTGCCGGTGCGCGCCGCACCACACCGGATCTCGCGGCGGTCCTAAGCGTCACAGACGTCACAGCAGAACGACCCTCACACACCGACACCAATGCTGACACGGGAGGCTGAAGGCCCGGACCCCGCCTGTGGCCCATACACGGCACGCCTCCGTCTCCGGCGAGGCTCTTGATCTTATCTGTCAGCTGCCGGCCGCCGCACGGGCAACCACGCCCGTGCTGGGCGCGCCGGCGCGATGACCTCAACCGTCATCTGCTGAGCGGGCGGCGGTGCCGAACACACCCCGTCGCGCAATGATGCGCCGCGCCGTGAGCGGTTGCGTTGCCGGGGCCGCCTCCGTGACGGGCGTTCCGAAGCAGCAACCCCTCCCAACAGCCAAGCAGCCACACGAATGGGCGGGCGCACGGAGGCGTGTGCACCCGCCGCGGCACGGTGGCGCCACAAGAAGAAGGAGGGCCGCACCCCTCCCCCGCCTCCTCCAGCTGCCTCGCGCCCCCTCCCGCAGGCTGAGGCTGGCTGCCACGTCGGCGCATATTGCCCTTCCTACCACACGGAGCGGTGTGCGAGGTCGCGCGAAACCTCGCCGACCGACTACAAAGACTGCTGCAGCGAGCAGGAGGTCGTCGCGGGTGTGGTGCCTGGCAGCGTGAGCCCTCCCCGAGGAGGTGGTGGGGCCGCCGAGTTCGTGGCCGGCTCGAGTGGGAGGGCCTTTCGGCGAACCCGTCGTCGTCGGCTGCCGCGCCGGCGCACGCTCCGCCCTGGCGGCGGAGGTGCTAATCAACGCGGGCTTCACAGAAGTCAAGAGCGTGGAGGGCGGCATCCGGGCCTGGGTCGCGGCAGGCTGCCAATCGAGCCACGCGTTCGCTGCCCACCGCAAACTTGTCTGGGATTTCCCTAGACGCGCGCGCTCACCGATAGTCGGGACTCTGGGGACAGACTCTGGACGTCTGGAGCGCTCTCTTAGGGGCCCCCTAGGCTTAAAAGGGTGGGCCCTGGGGCGCCTGCGGCTTAAACGGCTTAAAACGGGCCTAGGCCCGTTTTAAGGCTGACTGGGCCGCCGATTCCTCAAACGGTCTTAAACGCTTAAACGGTGCGGGAGGTCGATCTCGATGGTCCCGCGTCCCGGAGGAGCTCCCGGTATACGGCTTTTTAGAAGACGCCGGAGGCCGGGTAGCTGGCTACAATCAGCTAGCACGCGTCCCCTATGCGAGTATGGCTTACAGATGTGTCTTCAGAGGCGGTTTTGTGCCTAATAACGGCAGTATTGGAGAAAACGGCGCGGAAGCCGGAACCCAGCGACGCATGCCGGTGAGGCCAATTTTCTTAAACGGTCTTAAAAGAGGGACCCCCGTGCCTGCAATCTCTTAAATGGCAATTTAAGCCCCCAAACCTCCTCATTTCTTAAAAGCTCTTAAAAAAATCCGGCCCTCAGAACCCTAGGGGTACGAACCCTTTAAGAGCGCTCTAAACTGTACGGTACTAACCAATAAATAAATAAATAAACAAAGAACTGGCCAAATACCAAATTCCAAATCGCAAACATAGAAACCCAAATACAGGCGGCGACGTGGCATACGAGCTCATAGGAGAAGGAGACGGGCACAGTTCCAAGGACGCACGAGCGAGCGAGACAGCAGCCATGACGATGACGATTCAGCGCGTGAACGCCAACTCGCCGGCACAGGCCGTGAAGAGCCGCGCACGCGGGCCGACGATTACGCAGCTGCGTGCCAAGCAGGCCGCTCTTGTGGCCGCATCCGAGCTCGCGGCTTCGAGTGATGCCAAGGCGAGTGTGGTAAGGCACTCGCCCGTTGACGAAGCCAAGCGGTGGGCAAGCGGCAAAGGCCGCAAAGTGGGCTTCGCAAAAGCACGTGCCACCTTCCGTGGCGGCGGCACGGGAATCGCGGCGACGGCGGCGAAGCACGACTCGCTCATCAAGAAGGCCCGCTGGCGCGGTACCGAGCAAATTGCCCGGGAGACTCCGGCGGGCTCTGTGTCCGTAGTGACGATGCCGCACCGCAAGGACTTCGCCTCCGACAAGGAGCACCAAGTGAAGTTTAACCTGTGGCTGAAGGCGGACGGCTTCAAAGGCAAGGTGCGCAACGGGGCGGTGAGGGAGCCAGAGCCCCTCTCTCGGTCGGGCTCACGCGTGTGTGGATCCATGTAGGAGCGGCAGCAGCGGGTGGCCGCGCAGTACGAGAAGCGCGTGCTGACCATGGACGCGTGGGGCCAAAAGCAGGGCTACCCGCCGTTCTGCGAGGTGGTGACGCAGGAGGACGGCTTGGCCAATCTGCAGCTCATTGTTGACAAGGTGCGCGGCAAGGAGGTGCCGCGAGTGCCGGCGGTGTCCGCTTTCATCGAGTTCTGCGTGGGCATGATGACCGGCGAGGTGGAGAAGGGCGGCTGCCGAGAGCTCCGAGCTGATCCTCAGCTGTACGCCACGGCGGCATACGGGCTCTCGCAGGCGGAGATGATGATGCCGCTCGAGAAGAAGGGCACGTTCGGGTGGGGGCCGTACAAGGACGCGCCGTACAAGCTGCAGAGCATCCAGCAGTACGCGACGGCGCTGCGCGTTTGGCTGAAGGAGGAGCTGCGCCGGTGGCCAGACGCAGGTGTGGCCAACCCGAAATAAAAACGGACACAATAAAAACGGTCAAACTCTGAGACGAGATGGGATTTAGGGGCATGTGTCCCCGCCCTGCACGATCTTGGTGTGAGGGATCTTCAATCAATAAAAACGGACACCTCTCTACTGTGAGGTGGGTAAAAAAGACTGTACGGTACTAGCCTGGGGGAAATTGTTCATTTTTCAAAGGCAACCTGAAGGAGCTTAAATCGGGACAAAGGGGAGAAGCCTCTGGGCCGGCGCGAGGGCCCCCGGAGGCACCGTGCGCCGCGCCGCAGTGCGGAAACGGGGCTCCGGCTCTACTAGTCTCTACTAGCACCAACTTCCCGATCTAACCCGGTCTAACAGAGGGCAGATTTGGAGAGATCTCGAGGAGTACATACAGATAGACCCTCTAACCATAAGAAAACTCCGACCTGATTGGTCGTACTGACCGCCGACAGATCACTCCAGACAGCAGACAGGCCGACGTCTGCACGCGGCTGGCCGGGCGAGAGGCTTGACACGATCCGACCCTGCGACCCTGACGCTGCAGCTCTAGCTATCAGACATGCACTGCTGACTGCTGCCACAATATGCGACCTGTGCTGGCCCACTTGGCGGCCTTCCCGGTCAGTGGTGAGGCGCAGTTCAGAGCTGTCGATGGCGCGATGCCGCACTGGTCCCACATTGGTGACACGAGACCACCAAGTTTGCCAGTCCAAGAGAGAGGCACCGGCGCTGTCCTGTGAAGGTGCGTGGTCCCTCCTGACTGCCCATGCGCGCGAGGCTGTGTAGGCATAGCCTCGAGAGTGCCAGCAGCCAATCCGAGGCGACGCGCATTGCGCCAGAAGCGTGCACACGATGGAAGGACACCTTCCTACTGGTCGTAGAATCAGGTCGTCACTGAATGCTTGATACTAAGGCCGCGAGCTATGCAGGTGATCAATTGTGCATCATGGCACGGTCAGCAGCGCCGACAGGCTGTCGCAAGGCGTGATAGCATGGCCGCAAGTACGCAGAACTCCCATGAAAACAAGTAAATCGCGAAAAAAAGAAAAAAAATCCCGAAAAAATCGGCGCCTGCGGCGGGCCGTGGGAACCCATCTCCCCCCCGCATGGACACCCTCTGGGGGCCCCGCGCCGGCCCAGAGGGAGAAGCGCGATCGCGGCGCAGGCTCAACCTCCTCATACAAGTTAGAACGAAAAACCGAGACCGAGAGCGATAATACAAAGTAAGACATGCGCGACCCCCACGCACGCGACAGAGCCGACACGCCCCGGTGAGCGGTGACACGCGTGTGTTGGCTGAGCTGCTAAAGAGTAAAGTACACATGCCAGATGCACTCGGCACGCCACGAGCGATACTCGCTCGTTGTCGACTGGACGATGTCCAAGGAAAAGTTCTTGCTCGCCGAGGCGTTCTCCATCTTGGTCAGCGTCACGTCGACGCCCTTGGAGCAGATGCAGTGCGTCGCCTCCCGCCTCTGCGGGTCAAGCGACAGCACCTCGACCTGCTCGTCCTGCACCTCGAGCGGAACCTTGATGGCCCGGAAGAGGCCCGATGCCAGATCGCACTCACAGCCCAGCCCCCCGTCTGCGAGCTTAACTGTGCGGCAGCCCCTTGTCGACCACTCGGCACTGCCCTCGTCCCAGGTGTTGCAGATCAATGCGCCGGATGGTCGAGGCAGCCCTTTCTTCATCTCCTCAAATCTATCGCGACGGGACGGTTGGCCGATTTGGGCGCCGGCCGTAGTCTCGCCGAGTCGTCGCCCGTACGTTGCGGTCCATTCGTCGTATGGCAAACTGATTAGCGTAGTCATGTTCGTCGCTTCGCTCAGTCGTCGCCCGTCCCTGCTGACTGAGACGGAGAAGGAGACCGTTTTCCCTGCAAAGGAAGAGGACGCGCTCACGCTGCCGCCGACCACCTCGGCAGTCGTCGTGTAGGCTGAAATCGTCACGACGAAGCCGGCGTCGAGTCCCTCGATTTGCAGAACCGTGTCCTCCATAGCGCCCTCGCCGCCGAAGCTCACGGGCTCGCCTGGCGGCGGCTCGACCGACTGCACAGAGACATTGAGCAAGCTGGTCGTGATCTCTACTGAGGGAGTTGCGTTGTCTCCGCCAGCGGCGAGCGAGGCGGCGAGGGCGACGGCCGCACCGACCACGCCGCTAATGGCGCCCTGGAGCAGTTGCCCGGCCTCTACCCTGGAGCTGTCCGTCGGCTGCCCCTCCTCCGATTCGAGGAGCCCGCTCACTTGGGACAGCACGTTGCTTACTCCGTTCGTGATCTCCTCCAGCTCGGACAAGCTGACGTTTGTTCTATTGCTGAGGTCGCTTAGGCCCTCAACGGTGTCCAGAGCGCCTTGGACCACCTGGGTGAGCGGCGGAGGCGACGGGGGCGGCGGCGAAGGCGGAGGTGGGGCCGACGGCGGAGGTGGAGAGGGTGGTGGGGCCGCCGGCGGAGGTGACGAGGGCGGAAAGGATGGATTTGGCGGCGGCCGTAGCGGGGGCGGGGGCGGATGCCTTGGCGCACCCTCGGGCACCATGGGTGGGTAGCTGGGCGGCGGTGGCGAGGGTGGCGGCGGCGGCGGCGGAAACGGCGACGTCGGCGGAGGTGAAGGCGGTGGTGATGGGGGCGGGGGAGATGGTGGAGGTGGAGAGGGCGGTGGCGGCGGGGGGGTTGGCGGCGGCGAGGGCGGTGGCGAGGACGGAGGCGGTGGCGACGGAGGCGGTGGCGACGGAGGCGGTGGCACCGGAGGCGGTGGCGAGGGGGGTGGCGGCGATGGCGGCGGCGGTGATGGCGACGGAGGCGACTCATCCTCGATGGGTAGGATGATGTCCGGCGGCGACAAGGGTGGAGGTGGCGATGGTGGCGGCGACGGTGGCGGTGGAGAGGGCGGCGGCGGGCTGGGCCGCGGCGGCGAGGGTGGCGGCGGGCTCGGTGGGGGCGGCGAGGGCGGTGGCGGCGAGGGTGGCGGCGGCGACGGCGGAGGTGCCAAAGGAGGCGGCAGCACGGGAGGCGGCGGCGATGGGGGTGGTGGTGATGGCGGCGGCGGCGATGGGGATGGCGGTGAGGGTGGTGGCGGAGATGGGGGTGGCGGAGATGGGGGTGGCGGTGAGGGTGGCGGCGGCGATGGCGGTGGTGGGCCTGGCAGTGGGGGCGACGGCGGCGGCGGGCTGGGCGGAGGCGGGGATGGCGGCGGCGGGCGCGGCGGCGGCGGCGAGGGAGGCGGCGGGCTGGGTGGTGGCGGCGAGGGTGGCGGCGGCGAGGGAGGCGGTGGGCTGGGCAGCGGCGGGCTTGGGGGTGGCGGCGAGGGCGGCAGAGGGCTCGGAGGCGGAGGGCTCGGAGGCGGTGGCGAGGGCGGTGGCGGCGAGGGTGGCGGCGGCGAGGGCGGTGGCGGCGAGGGTGATGGCGGGCTCGGAGGAGGCGGCGAGGGTGGCGGCGGCGATGGCGGTGGTGGGCCTGGCGGTGGGGGCGACGGTGGAGGCGGGCTGGGTGGAGGCGGGGATGGCGGCGGCGGGCGCGGCGGTGGCGGCGAGGGAGGTGGCGGGCTGGGTGGTGGCGGCGAGGGCGCGGAGCTCGAGGGCGGCGGCGGTGAGGGTGGTGGCGGCGAGGGCGGCGGCGAGGGCGGCGGCGAGGGCGGCGGCGAGGGCGGCGGCGAGGGGGGCGGTGAGGGCGGTGGCGTGGGCGGCGGTGAGGGTGGAGGTGAGGGTGGAGGTGAGGGCGGCGGCGAGGGCGGTGGCGGTGAGGGCGGTGGTGGTGAGGGCGGCGGCGAGGTGGGCGACGGAGTGGGCGACGCGGTAGGCGAAGCCGTCGGCAACGCTGTAGGCGAAGCCGTCGAACTGGGTGCAGAGGAGGGAGCGGCGGAGGGGGCGGAGGAGGGGGCGGAGCTCGAAGCTGACGAGGGCGAAGAGGAGGGGGCGGAGCTAGGAGCCGACGATGGAGAGGAGGGTGCGGCGCTGGGCGATGACGACGGGGCAGAGCTCGAAGCTGACGAGGGCGAAGAGGAGGGAGTTGACGAGGGCGCGGAGCTCGAGGGCGGCGGCGGTGAGGGTGGTGGCGGCGAGGGCGGCGGCGAGGGCGGCGGCGAGGGCGGCGGCGGTGAGGGTGGAGGTGAGGGTGGAGGTAAGGGCGGCGGCGAGGG